GAGGTATTTGTCTCCACCGCCACAACAAGCTCCACCACACCAGGACCATCCCTCAGAACTGTGACCCAGATCCAAGCATGGGTAAAGCAAGAGATTCCTGCCTCAGCACTGGCAAAGAGATCCCTGCAATCCCCCTCTGATCAGCCACTGGATTCCCCCTCAGTCTGTGGGCTGGAAGCTCAGGAGGCAGCCACTGCCCCGGGGGTAGCTGAGACCTAGCTTCTTCTCTCACCGCAGCCACAGACTTTTCCCACTGACCATCTAAGTTGTCTTTGGTGTTTGTGCATTGAGAAGTCAGGAAATTGCCACAGTTGCCCGCGATTCAGTAGTATGAGGCCTGCTCCAGGTTCACTGCAGCCTGCGCGCCCACACTGAACTGCATTCCTCTCCCTGCCTGGCGCAATATACCCTTCTGATCAACCATCCAGGTTGTCTTGGTCTGGAAATTTGTTTCACTCTGTCTTTTTGTGGGTTAGGCTGCTTTAGAATTTGTTTAGAGCCATTTTTTTTTTACAGGTATTTGGGTTTGGGGGACAGCTCAAGCAAGTCACTGCTTTCACTCTGCCATCTTGGCTCTGCCTATTCAGTGTTCTAATTACACCATCTTTTTAACCAAATAATGGCTTAGTAGGATGTTTGGATAGCTACTGAAATTAAAATATTAAAATTGCTCTATAATATATGCTAATATAATAACATTTAAACTCCAAACTGGAAATTGTGTATTTCCTCTTCAGAGAGTGTCTTCTGAATTCTTTTGCAAAGAAAAAAATGAGTTGACGGTGGTTTCAGAGTTTGTGAATTTTGAGAAATAGAAGTTTAGTAAACTCTTAGAATTTACACTGTCAACTTTAGAGGAAAAATATTTTAAATATACATTTGAAAAAATCTTACCTCTGGCCAAAAAATAATCCTCTAAAAATTTTCCAACACAACATATTTGTAAAAGAAAGTCTAAGAATCTTTTCTAGGACTTAGGATGTTATTTAAATTATCTAATGTATTTAATCTTTATATGACAAAGATCCTCTGTGGGGAAACTCATGTTCACTTGCCTGAAAGAGTGACTTTTGCAGGTATCATAATACTATTAGTGCACATTGGTGAACTTGTTGAGTTGCAAGTTACCTGTTACATGGAAGATTATATTAACCTGCGTTAAATGAACAGCTACCCTCTAAACAAAGGCATTTATCACTCCCATTTCAGACTACCTCTTTGTGGAAGCCATGTTTTTCCTTTGATAAGTAAGTAATATAAATTTTATTGCTTTTTAATAATCTGATACATAGATTTAAAAACATACACATTGTCTGCTGTTCAGAGTTGCTACAAAACATGTAAATTGTTTTTTAAAATATGCATATTTTAAAGATATTCCCCAAAAAAGAATGATTCAATTTATCTCAAGTTTAAATTCTTTCTTTGTATAGTTCACGTATGTCATTTAAAAAGAACACATGAGCAATAAGAGAAGAAAAAGACATTGAAGACATTAGAATAGGCAAAGAAGAAACAAAGCTATCACTCTTTGCAGATAACATGATGTTATACTTAGAGAATCAAGTAAAAAACTACTTGAAATAATAAACAACTTTAGCAAAGTTGTAGGGTACAAAATAAACCCACATAAATCATCGGCATTTCTGTATATTAACAACAAAGCCCAACAGCAAGAGATAGAAAGAGAAATTCCATTTAAACTTACTGTAGACATTATAAAATATTTAGGAGTCTACCTCCCGAAACAAACCCAGGAACTCTATGAACACAGTTACAAAACACTTTTCACTCAAATAAAATCAGATCTAAATAACTGGAAAAACATCAGTTGCTCATAGATAGGCTAAGCTAATATAATAAAAATGACAATTCTACCTAAGCTAATTTACTTATTCAGTGCCATACCAATCAAACTACCAAAAAAATATTTTGTAGAGTTAGAAAAAATAATAACAAGATTCATTTGGAAGAACAAAAGGTCCAGAATATCAAGAGAACTAATGAAAAGAAATGCAGAGGAAGGTGGCCTAGCCATTCCAGATCTTAAATTGTATTTATAAAGCAGCAATCATCAAAACTGCTTGGTACTGGCTAAGAAATAGAGTGGTGGATCAGTGGAATAGGTTAAGTATGCAAGACATAGTAGTCAATGACTATAGTAATCTACTATTTGATAAACCCAAAGACCCCAGCTTCTGGGATAAGAACCCACTCTTTGACAAAAACTGCTGGGAAAACTGGAAAAGAGTATGGCAGAAACTAGGCATAGACCAAAATCTCACACCATATACCAAAATAAAGTCAAAATGGGTACATTATTTAGATATAAAGGCTGATACTATAAGCAAGCTGAGAGAGCAAGGAATAGTTTACCTGTCAGATCTATGGAGAACAGAAGAATTCATGACAAAACAGGAGATAGAGAACAATACGGAAAGCAAAATAGATAATTTTGATTACATCAAATTGAAAAGTTTTTGCACAAACAAAGCCAATGAAACTAAAATTAGAAGGCAGAAAATTGGGAAAGAATTTTTACAACCAGTCTCTCTGATAAGGGCCTCATTTCTAAAATATATAGAGAATTAAGTCAAATTTATAAGAATACAAGCCATTCCCCAATTGACAAATGGTCAAAGGATATGAACAGACAGTTCTCAGGTGAAGAAATTAAAGCCATCTATACTCATATGAAAAAAAGCTCTAAATCACTATTGATTAGAGAAATGCAATTCAAAACAACTCTGAGGTACCACATCACACCTATCAGAATGGCCAACATGACAAAACAGGAAAATGATAAATGTTGGAGAAGATGTGGGAAAATTGGAACACTAATGCATTGTTGATGCAGTTGTGAAATGATCCAACCATTTTGGAGAGCAATTTGGAGCTATGCCCAAAGGGCTACAAAAATGTGCATACCCTTTGACCCAGCAATGGCACTTCTAGGGCTATATCCCAAACAGATCACACAAATGGGAAAAGGACCTACATATACAAAAATATTCATAGCAGCTCTTTTTGTGGTGGCAAAGAATTGGAAACTGAGAGGATGCCCATCAATTGGGGAATGGCTGAACCAGTTGTGGTACATGAATGTGATAGAATACTATTGTGCTATAATAAATGATGAACAGGCTGACTTCAGAAAAACCTGTAAAGACTTGTATGGTCTGATGCTGAGTGAAGTGAGCAGAACCAAGAGAATGTTGTACACAATAACAGCCACATTGTGTGATGACTAATATTGATAAACTTAACCCCTCCTGGCAATACAAGGATCTAAGACATCTCCAGAGGCCTTGTGATGGAAAATGCTATCCACACCCAAAGAAAGAACTATGGAAACCGAATTGTTATTTTTTTTTCTCTTCTGTTGAGTTTTGTTTCCTCTTTCTGATGGTTCCTCCTATTTGTTTCAATTTTTACTTACAACATCACTAATGTGAAAATATGTTTAATATGAATGTAAATGTATAGCCTATATCAGATTGTGTGCCATCTTGGGGAGGGTGGTGGGGAGGAAGGGGGAGAAAAATTTTAAACTCAAAAGCATATGGAAGTGATTATTGATAAATCAAAATAAATTAATAAAAAAAAGAAAAAGAACACATGATGCCATTATTGTAGTTCTGAGTTTAAACCAGATTACATAAAATAATCTTTTCATAGTTGGAGATACAAATAAGTGTTTCTTGAGATCACACAACTTCCTGAGTATACATTTCACTATTTTTGGCCCAGATTTTCTACTGATGGGGTTAAGTTTTCTATCAAGAAATCAGTTTGAGTAGAATTCCTTTGAGGTAATGCTCAAATGCTTTGAGGTAAGATGTACAGTGGTTTACTCCCCACAGAATGCTTTGTGGGTGGCTAATTTAACTAGAGAGGTTACTTAATAATTTTTTCCTTTGTAAACATGTCCTCTGTTGTAGAAACTGAAGTCTAGGTATGGATGAATGACATTTCCATTTGCAGCATATCTAATTCTACTCCTAGGTGAACTAACAAATATTGATGTGGTAACACAAGTTTTTACTAGTTCTCCACTGTGCTTGCATTCTATCAGTCACTAGTGAAACAAAGGATGATGCCATACATTTTCCACTTATTAATTCTATTTAGCCACCAATTAGGTTTGGATGCTGTTTGCCAAATTTTCATATGGGGCTGTTTCTGATTCAAACGGCTTGTTTCCATAGATGGGAATCTAGATTGCAACATGACTTGATAATTAAATTCTTCTGGCATCTACCACTATTGTATTTTATTTGGAGAAGAATATATTTCTTTTAAAAATAAAATGAACTATTGGTTGGTATACAGGAGAGAAAGCTAAGTGAGCATTTATTTGCCAATAGTAATGTAGCCCACTCCATATAAAACTAAGTATAAAACCATTTTGAAGGTTTTAGAAGTTACATAGATACTCTGCATGCATGTTTTGAATCATGAGATAGAGGAATATAGCAAGTGAACACCTGAAGAACGCTATCTGACACGAACAACACAAAAACCTGAGATACGAGAACAAAGTCAAAAAGAGAAATTATAATAATCTGTTTTAGGAATGCTATATTTCAGAGAATAAGAGACTACCATGATGTCTGTGGAACCTCAATACTTCGGCTAATAATAAAAATTAATTTTAGGAGTAGGGTATCTAAATCACTCAGTAATTAGTGCTTAGCACAAATGCCTGATATACCATAGGCTCTTAATACAAATTTATTGACTCTGACTGACAATTACCCTTTTACTAGATTTTGAAAGAATTTATATTTGTAGACATAGAATATGTAAGAAAAATAATCCTAGTAGAAGTTTTCTAGGTTAGAGTAACAAGTAGTTTAAATGTTCTCATTCTCATTTTCCAATATATGAGCAAATGTTTGGATTCATTATGAAAACCTATTTTAAAACTGATTATATTGCAAAAGTACAAATCTAAACTTCTAGGCATGGTGATTTATCACAGCGCATTGCTCACTTACCCTCTTCTGTTCCCTTACATACTCCATTAGTTCTTCTCTTGTTCTTCTCACAGCTTCTTCCACAGCCTTTTCACTTCGCTTCTGCTCCTCTGCTATTGCTGCCTTGAGTGTTTCCTGTGGGGAATTATCCATCCATCCATCAATCGACAAGCATTTATTAAGTTCCTAGTATATTCCAGGTGCTAGGGATACAAATACAAGAATCCTTGCCCTCAAAACTGCTTCCATTCTAATGAGGTAGACATGTACATAAATAAGTATGAATAAAATATGTACAAAAATAAGTTAGAGATAATTTTTGGAGGGAGGTACTATTAGCTGGAGGTAGGATGGATAACAAAGGCTTTATGTAGAAGATTATTTTTGAACTGAGTCTTTAGGGGAAATAAGATTTTAAAAGGTGTTGATGAGGAGAGAGTACATCCTAGGTGTGACAGATAGTCATGTGTGAGGAATATTAGGAAGGCCAGTTTGAATGGGCCACTGAGTGCAGGGAGGGGAGTAATGTATATCAAGGCTGGAAAAGTACATTGGGGCCACATTCTGAAGGGCTTTAGAGGCCAAACAGGATGGAAAAAAAAGTGAAGTAGCATGTACTAATGTTAGTTTTCATATATAGTGTTCATATAATTTTAAAATCCACTTATGGGTTATGGAACTATTTCCATCTTAAATGGCATCTTAGTAAATCCTTAAGAAGTATGCTTGAATTCAGTTTTCTAAATGTAATACATGAAAGTTTTTTGGTAAAGGAAGTCCCTCACAGATTCAGTTTTTTAAAACTAGTCTTTCATTTGCTATTTTAGTAATTGATTGTCTTCTTGTGCTTTGTATTGTCACCATAAGATTCTCAACCTATATGCATTCTTCCAAGGACAGTTATTATTAGATTTTTATCTGATAATAATCAGGTATAGTTTGGTTGGTAAGATTTTAATCATTCTTATTCATTTGAGTACCGATGTATTTTTTAATGTTATGCTACATGATTTCAGATGCCAAACTTACTTGCAGTTCATTCTGCAAGGGGCTGAAAAATTCCAAATCCTAGAGAGGAATACAGCAGGGCACTGAAGATAAAATTTCTGTAGGCAGAGCATGCTCTCCAGGGACTAGTTGCCCAGGCCCCTGGAATTTGTAAATGTGTCTTAAAAAAGCAGTATGCCTAGCCCAGGACGAGATGCACTCTATCATGTCATTTGGACTAGACTAGTTGGAGGTTATGCCATTTTGGGAAAATGGATGAGTCTGGGACAAAGACAAAAAGTGAGCCTCTTCAGCAGCAGCATCAAAGGATGCCATGCATGAGGACTGATCAAAAGTACTGAAAGTCTAGAGTTTGTTTACTTAATATTTTATTTTCTGCCCAATTACAGGTAAAAACAATTTTAACATTCTTTTTTTTTTAATTTTACATTCCAAATTCTCTCCCTCCCTCTTCTCCCCTCCCTCATTTAGAAGGCAAGCAATTTGACATAGATTATAACATGCGTAGTCATGCAAAACACATTTCCATGTAAATCATTCTATGAAAGATAACACAGACCAAAAAACCAAAGAAAAATTAAGTAGAGAAAAAGTATCTTTGATCTGCATTCAAGCTCTACCAGTTCTTCCTCTGGAGATGGACAGCACCTTTCATCTTAAGTCCTACAGAACTGTCTTCCATCATTGTATTGCTGAGAATAGTTAAGTTACTCATAGTAGATCATCATACAATATTGCTGTTACTGTGTACAATGTTCTCCTGGTTCTGCTCATTTCACTCTGCATCAGATCATGTAAATCCATGTTTTTTTTTTTTTCAAAAGCATTCTCCACATCATTTCTTAAAGCACAATAGTGTTCCATCACAATCAGATAAAACAACTTGTACAGTCTTTGCCCAATTGATGGAAATCTCCTCATTTTCCAATTATTTGCCACCACTAAAAGATTTTTGTACACCTAGGTCCTTTTCTCTTTTGTTTTTTTTTTGGAATACAATTCTAGTAGTATTATTACTTTGTCAAAGGGTTTTGTAGCCCTTTGGTCATAGTTCTAAATTGCTCTCCAGGACAGTTAAATCACTGTACAACTTCACCAATAGTACATTAGTGTTTTAATTTTCCCACATCCCTTCCAACATTTGTCATTTTTCTTTTGTCATATTAGCCAATCTGACAGGTATGAGGTAGTAGCTCAGAGCTGTTGTAGTTTGCATTTCTCTAGAGCATTTTTTCATTTCAGTATAGATAGCTTTGATTACTTTGTCTGAAAAACTGCCTGATCACATCCTTTGACCACTTATCAATTGAGGAATGGCCTTATTTCTATAAATTTGACTCACTTTTCTATATGTTTGAGAAATGAAGTCTTTATCAGAGAAACTCACTGTAATGTTTTTACACTAATGATTACACATTATGTATTTCTCTCAATCCTATTTTGCTGTTTATCCTACTCTCTCTCTCCTTTTACCCTGTCCATTTTCAAAAGTGTTTTGCTTTTGACTTTTAACTTCCTAAAACTGCTCTCCCTTCTATCAGCTCCCCCCATAACCCAATTAAGTGTGTTTATTATTCCTTCCTTAAGCCAAATCCAATGAGAATAAGATTCACTCATTCCTTCTCACCTTCCCCCACTTCTCCTCCACTGTAAAAGTTTTTTCTTGTCTTTTATGTGAGATAATTTACCCCATTTACCTCTCCCTTTCTCCTTCTCCCAGTATAATCCTCTCTCACCCCTTAATTTTATTCTCCAGATATCACTCCTTCATCTTCAACTCAACCTGTGCCATCTATCTATCTATCTATCTATCTATACATACATACATACATACATACATATAATTTTTCTCCTCCAACTACCCTAATATTGACAAAGGTCTCATGAGTTACAAATATCATCTTTCCATGTAGGAAAAAAAAATCCCCCTCAAGGATTAAACTCAGTTTTGCTGGGTAGGTGATTCTTGGCTGTAATCCTATTTCCTTTGCCCTCTGGAATATCATATTCCAAGCTCTCCGGTTCCTTAATGTAGAAGCTGCTAAATCTTGTGTTATTCTGATTGTGTTTCCACAATACTTGAGTTGTTTCTTTCTGGCTGCTTGCAATATTTTCTCTTTGACCTGGGAACTCTGGAATTTGGCTACAATATTTCCTCCTTGACCCAGGACCGCCACCCAGAACTGTGATCCAGATCTAAGCAAGAGCAAAACAAGAGAATCCTGCCTCAGCACCAGCAAAGAGATCCCTGCAATCCCCCTCTGATCAGCCACTCAATTTCGCCTCAGTCTGTGCACTAAGCTCAGGAAACAGCCGCTGCCCCTGGGCTGCACCAGGACTGGGGCTGGAACCGAACTTCTCTATCACAGTGGCCACAGACTTCCTACTGCCCTTCTAAGTTGTCTTTGTGTTTGTGGGTTGAGAAGTCTGGAAACTGCCACAGTTGCTCATGATCCAGTCCTTTGAGGGCTGCTCCAGGTTTGCTGAGGCCTGATTCTTTGCCTATGTGCCCACTCTGAACGGCCCTCCTCCCCCAGCCTGACTCAATAGCCCTCTCCAATCAACCATCCATGCTGTCTTGGACTAGAAATTTACTTTACTATGTTTTTTTGTGGGTTCTGCTGCTCTAGAATTTTTTTGGAGTCATTTTTTACAGGTGTTTGGAGGGCTTTGGGGGAGAGCTCAAGCAAGGCACTGCTTTCACTTTGTCATCTTGGCTCCAGCCCCTAAGGAATTATTTTCTTCAGTTAGCTTTTGTACTTCCTTTTCCATTTGGCCAATTCTGCTTTTTAAGGCATTTTTCTCTTCATTGGATTTTTGTATATCTTTTACCACGTGGCCTATGCTGTTGTTCAAGATGTTATTTTCTTCAGTATTTTTTTGTGCCTCCTTTACCAAATTGTTGACTCTTTTTTCAAGGTTTCTTTGCATCACTCTAATTTCTCTTCCCATTTTTTCCCCTACCACTCTCACTTGATTTTTAAAATCCTTTTTGGGCTCTCCCATGGCCTGAGACCAATTCATATTTTTCTTTGAGGTTTTGGATGTAGGAATTTTGACTTTGTTGTCTTGTTCTGAGTGTGTATTTTGATCTTCCTTGTCACCATAGTAACTGTGGTCAGAAATTTTTTTCTGTTGTTTGCTCATTTTCCAGCCTATTTCTTAGCTTTTAACTCTATGCTAAAGTAGGTCTCTGCTTCCCAATTGGAGGGGGCGCTGTCTCAAGCTTCAGTTTTTTTTTGCACAGCTATTTTCAGAGGTAATTCTGGGGACACGTAAATTTTGGGATCTTCCAAGGTGGCATGTTCTAGGAAGAAATAACGTAGACGACCTTTCATTGAAAAATGGCTAAAGAAACTGTGATACATAAATGTGATGAGAGATTAATGTGTTGTAAGAAATGATGAATATAAGATGAAGATGGTGTAGTACAGGTCAGAACCCAGCTGAACTCTTCTAATATTCCTCTCCAAACCTAAAAATAATGCCTCAAATCAAAATTTGGAGTGGCAGAGTCAACCAAAAGTCAGAGGGAGATATTTTTGCAGTCTACAACTTAGAAAGTGTGCAGGAGAGGTATGTAACATTGGGATGGATGCAGGTTCAGAGCATGGCAGGGGCACTAGCTGTAGGCCTTGAAGGCAGCTGTAATAGTAGCAGCAGTAGCAGCTTTGGGAACTCTCAGCCCAGAGTCAGTCAAGGGGGTCAGAGAGCTGATGAGAAAGAGATTACTGAAGACCCTTGCTTGCACAGGGTGCACCTAGTGGTGACTGGCCACTCTACTACCCACAAGCAGTTCTGGGTCACATTTCCAGGAATGAGAGGGTTGTGATCAGTCAAAAGGGAGGAGGGGCCTTGGTTATAGTTCCAGGCCCAAGAGGAGTACTTCCTACCACTTACAGATTCAGGAAAGCAGGGGCTTGGTTACAGTATCAGGGCCAAGAGGAGAGTTAGCAGTTGTGGCTGCAACATAGGACCTGGTCACAGTTCAGGACCAAGAGGAGCACTAGTACTGATACTTGTTACTGAAGGGGAGCAGGGGCCCTTCCCACAGCACAGACCAGGAGAGTGGTGACAATACCTTTCCCAGGATCACACCACCTTGGAAGGACCAAAAACCTGCAGAC